TGACAAGTAAACAACATGTCGAAGTACCTAAGGACGACACTCGAAGACTAAGTAAAGTCGAAATGAATTGAGGCGAGATTAAACGATACGGAGCAAAGCCGTTCCAACTACACATTATATTGCTACATAATTATGTATTATCGTGTGGATAAGTGGATATACGCATCACAAGAGCCACTTATGCATCACTGTTCAGTAGCCATTATGAGCACGAACATATTTTCATAGTCGTGCTGGTGCATGAACATAACGTACACATCTCACCCTACGATATTCCTCACACACGCACACCTGTAAAGACGGAAGACATTTTTCAATTTGCACCTATTATACATAGGTACTTGAGGACACTTCTCATATATGACAGCCATTCCCCTGGACGGCATTTCTCACACGTGCGTGTCGCACCGGAAGACACACGTTCACTCAACTTCCCCGCCGAGCGGTCACTTGTGTTTACTGAGGCGCGCCAGGTCGATCGGCGGCAGGCCCTGGATGTGCGGCGGCTGCCGCGGCCCTGTGGCCTCCACAAACGCGTCCGCCGCCGTGAGCAGCACGTCCAGCTGCTGCTGTTTCTCCAGCCGCAGCCGGCGCATCACCTGCTGCGAGGCGTGCGCCAGCAGCACGGCCAACAGGCTCATCCCCACGCCCACCAGCAGGATGGTCAGCTTGGTCTTCTGCTTCACGTCCGACGAGTGCATGAAGAACACGGGCACTGTCAGGTTCAGGTCACAGAAGGTGAATAGCGGATCGATCACTCGGAAATTGAACACATGAATCTTGGCCGAGTCGGCCCATATGATCGAGTTATCGCGGCCGGGTAGACCGAACAGCTCGAAGCTGACGTTCTCAGCACTCTGCGCGGCGAGGTCAGGGTCCGGGGAGAAGTGCCGGGATAGCCGGTGCGAGTCGTTGCAGCTGACGTAGCTGGCGGTGTTGAGCACGGCTGTCGGGTCGAAGTCGCCGCTGAGGTTGCCCCGTTGTTTCCACAGTTCAGCGTAAGATCGCCGCCAAGAGAGACTCTCGCCGTACTCGTGATGACGACAGCTGGCCGCCGAAGCCGTCAGGTCGAACCCAAAGTCCTGCAGGCCGTGGATCTCGTACAGCGACGTGATCTGCCGCAGCGGTCGCAGCTGGTCGCCACTCTTCACGGCGAGTACCGGAGTGAACTGAGCTTTATCGCTGCTGAGCAGCGGGCAGCCCCAGGCCGGGTCCCAGCTCACTCGCCACTGACCGTCCACCAGCCGCACGGCGTGTTCACCGCGCACCTGCTGCTGGTAGCGCAGCAGCGGGTCGCGCTCCGGGGAGCTCTCCACAGTCAGACCAGCGGCCTGCAGGTGACGGCACGTCTCCTCGTCCACCCGTTTGTTCCTGGCCACCAGTTTCAGCCAGGGGTTGCAGCCGACCAGTACCGGGAACGGGTGCGGCAGCCGGGCCGGACACTCGGGCTGCTGCTCGGTGCTGGTGACATGCAGCTGCGCCAGCTGCAGCTGCCGCAGGAACGGCCGCTGCCGCAGCTGCGGGTGACTGCGCACCGTCACCAGCCACTGCGAGGTGACGGTGCCGTCCGGCTGCGCGCGGCTGGCCACCAGGCGGGTGTTGGAGACCAGCGCGCTGGAGCTGAACAGCACCAGCGGCCGCACGGAGAGGCGGCCGGAGGCAGTCAGACGCACGTCCAGCCGCAGCGTGTCGCTCTTATCCACCATCGGCTCCAGGTGGCTGCGGGAGACGGCTGTCAGCCGCAGCACGCCGCACTGCGCGTCCAGCGGCGCCAGGTGACGCCACAGCGACACACGCCGCAGGGAGCAGGCCAGCATCCCGCGCCCGTCCGGAGGCACCGTCAGAGTCAGAACCTCCACCGTACGGCCACGGAGCAGGAACACCGGGTATGGTCCCGTGGCGGCGACCGATATTATCGAGCCGAACCGATCATCAAGCGACGACGCCGAATTTTCGGTAGACGACTCAGCCGGCGCCGGAGGTGAGGCAGGAAGTGGAGCAGAGAGTATGTTCTTCGATTGTAGCCGAATCACTCGTGCCGTCCAGACGTTGAGAGCGCTCCCGAGCAGCATGTGTCCATCGGCGTCGATCAGCATCCAGCGCTCGCCGTCGGTGGTGAAGGCCCTCAGCGGGAGGTGCGCCTGCGATGTGCCCTCCACTACCGCCAGTGAGGCAGCGTCCAGCACCGACGCCTGCTCAAAGTGCGTGTCGGCTCGGCCGGAGACGAACAGTCGGAAATCCTCTGTCACCAGGATGGTCAGCATGCGCATGGTGGGCTGGACGGTGATGACTCTCACCGGTTTGTCGGTGACCTGCAGAGCGGCCCGCTGGCAGCCGGGTCCGTTGCGCTGACCCTCGGCCGTGCCCCGCGGCAGCGAGTGGCACCTGTGCATGATGCGCGCCACCATCCCGCGGCCCTCGTGGTTGAAGAAGAGCGTGCCGTACGCCTCGGACGGGTACTGGGCGAACAGCAGCGGCTCGCTGTCGGCCGGCACCGACACCGGCTGTCGGTGGTAGCTGTCGCCGTGGTCCAACGAGGTCAGCAGCATTACGGTCGAGTTGCGCACCTTCAGCGAGTAGCCCACCAGGTGCCGGTTGGTGTTTTCACACCACTTGGTGTCGTCACAACACGGCGTGGTGACCAGACGGGACACTGGCGGCACACCGTCCGGGAAACTCTTCACGTCGAGCACCCGCTCAGACAGGTCGCCGGCCAGCCAGCTGATCAGCTGACTGACGCGAACGCGCAACACCTGCTGACCGAACAGTAGGTAGAGGAATTTTCGGGAGAAGCTGGCGCCCGTCAGTGTTTTGGACACCAGACCAGCCGGCAGCAGGTTCTCAGACAGACAGTCGGCGTGGTCCAGGAAGCGGTTGACGCTCACATACACATGGGAGCCGGCAAAAATGGCCGGAAAGCCGTGCGATGTCATGACGATGTGAGGCAGCTGTGTCGTGGAAACAGCGAACACCGAGCTGTTCCCTCTTGGAGGCAGCTCTGTGGTATTCCTTGAAATGTCGAAGTTGGTGTGACATGGCGAAACCTGCACTAATGGTGATTCACGCAGAACGTTGGATCCCTTGACACATTGCGCATCACATTTAACACGCCCCAATGACACAATAACTAAAATTACATTAAATTCGTAAAACATTGTATCAACTTTTTGGTAAGTGCAGTCTTTCTCTTTCCGAAACACGGCCCTTGCTAAAACAGCTCCCGAACCAGCTCCCGAACAGCCGTATTTGAGCCGCCGCATGAGGTATTTTCTCAGAAAAAAAGCTTTGTGCATTCGTGCTAGCCAACCACGAATGTCCGCTTTTCAGAAGATCAAAAGAACAAATAAAATAAAGTGCTCCCCAAAAAAAACCTGACCTTATATAGAACTTGTCTTAGAAGATACATCTACCCGCAGCCGCACGCACGCACATGGGATCGACACGCGATATGCCCCAAACATGTATTCGGTATATTTTAACGCTTAAACCAAGGCTAGCTAGAACTGAGTTACCGTTTGAATACAGTGTAAAACGATGAACATTCTAAGCCGAAACACTGAGGGTGTCTACATGTCACTCCCAGTTATTTCCGAAACGCGCTAACAACGCCACCGCCCGGTAGGCGAGATTTTAGATTCAAGTATTGCGGTACAGCATACCTTCAGGCGTTTACTTCTGGTGCCATCTAGCGGCGAGAATACAACTAGTGATACGCCTAAGCAAGCGCAGTGCTCGACGTCGTCTCTCCGGCTGCATATGCAGATTATGCCGGGCTGACAGTGTTTGTGCACTCATTTGATGCGATGCCAGACGAAGATGTGACGTTGTTAGGCGTCTCCCTCCCGGAAAGTGTGTGTTCGTTTCGTACTGCTCTACTCCGAAGTCCAAACATTCTACACTCATTCGACACTGATTAAATTCGATAAACTGGGTTGAGCCGACAACAAAAAGGCTGCGCTGATTGCACCCTATTTAGAAGGGAGTGTCTCGGTGTGACAGGCCACTCAGTCCCTCAAAGTCAACCCGGAGACACACTCGGCACGGATGACGGATCCGTCCTCAATCGGCTGGGAAGGGAGCTCATCAGACTAGAACGGGTATGTGTGATCACTGTTACAGGGTGATGGTGGATTGGTGATGAGAGCAGGACGATGGGTGATGAACTGAACTCCCATGCGTTCTCTAGTATCGACAGCTCACCGACCACTACACGAGAGGATAAGGTTAGATTGACGCTTCCCTGTTGAAGAACAACCAATTTCTCTGAAACAGATTTATCAGAGTTTCAATTGGGCGTCTTATCACCATTGGTGAAATACATCTCTTTCATTGAATGAATACGCATATGAGAACAAATCAGGCAGTTCGTTCACGATGAATCGTAAGAAGTTTCTAGCGCGGAACCAGGGCTGACCTCAAGTTAGCACCCCGCGCCTGTGGGCGTTCAACGGCCGTCCACTATCTTCCCGTGCAGCGGGCAGCGCTCCAGCCACGTGCTCTTCCATCCGCCGACGGATCCCCAAGGCGTATTCCCATCGATGTTTCATTCATTGCATGAAACCCCTCGTGGTCTGACCTGCGCAAATGTAGTTAGTAGCCATGATCCCCGCGGGGTTCGAACAAATGTACCAACTTCTGCTCATCGAGTCGCATCCGGTCTCCGCGAAGACCTTGTGCGTAGTGTGGCCACCCACGCTGCTAACGTATGCAGGACAAGGAAATGATTGGACATGTGCCGAGCAAGTTATAGTAGGCGCTCCCAAGTGCATCAAACTTCAAAAGTAAGCGTGGGCGACTTTCCAAGGGTCCACGCTACTACAGCGCGCTCAATTCCTGCCTTCTTAGCGGCTGACTGGAGCACCGGTGCTCAGTCCTACTCGCTCAACGCAAGTGAGCTCCAGTCATTAGATGCCTACTGATAACTCCCGTGCACAATAGCCACCGGATCTACGTCCCTCCATGACCTCTGGTACCGCCCACCCGGAGTCCAGGCCACACGCTCCGAGATGACTCGTGTATTTCTGATCAGGCCCGGAGCGATGGCGCGCCCAACCACGCGGCAGTCTCTCGCGCTCTCTCGCTCGCTCGCTCGCTCGCACTCGGCCTCACACGCTGTGCACGACGGCGCCGCCGCCGCCGGCCAGGCGCCCGCTCCAGACCAGGCCGCGCGCAGTACAAACTAGCGAACCAAAGGGCTGTGTGCGACCGCTTGCCATATCACAGCGAGCGTCTAGTTCTTGTGACTAGCACCGAGGACATTACACGCACACCACGGAAACAACTCACGCACGCACGCTGGCGAGCGCAGCACCACTCACCACCGGCCGACGGCGCGGCAGTCCAATCCAGCTCCAGCTCCACCGGGGCGAGGCGGCCGCGCACCGCACTGCACGCGCGCGCGCGCGAGCGCACACACAGTCAAAGAAAACCAAATGGCAAACAACGAATAAATAAACTCCTCTTTAAACAGCGACAAAGCGGCGGCCCGACAGGCGGGCGCCGGCCGCGGCCCGAGGACCAGCCGCCAACACCACACAATGGCAGTATTATGGCATCCCTGCGGAGCGTCGCCAGCGCGCGCGCCACCTTGTGCCAGCTCCACAGATCGCTCACTCGCCACCCAACGGCCGGCTAACCAACAACGCAACGATCAAAGTGATAATTTGTAGCCGTGCCCGTGGCGGGCGCGGCGCCCTGCCACCCCGGTCCACGCGCCGCCCGCTCGTGTCCGTCCGTGCCTGTGGCTCGGTCGCGGTGCGGCCGGCCGGCGCTCGTTAAAGCTGCAGCCACCGTGACTGTGCCACGTCCTTCACTGCGCCGCGCCGCGCTGCGCTCCCATTGCACTGGGGCGGCGGCGGCGGGCGTCCGCCGCGCCCTTCCTCGCCGCCGCACCGCGCCGCCTCCGTCCCTGTCCGGCGTCTCTCTGTGCCCGTCTCGGTGCGCTGCGTCTGTCTCTCCGTCTCGGTGTTCCCGGTCTCCGCGCCGCCGTCTCTGCGCCGGCCGTCTACCCACTGTCTCCGGTCGGCGCGTCAGAAATTTTGAAAGACACGAATTGAACGGCGGCCGTGTTGCAGCGAGTCGATCGGCCGTTCGGCTCTGCGCACCGCTCACTTGCCGGCGACGGAGCCGGGCGGGCCGGGCGGACCCGGCGGGCCCGGGGGACCCGGCGGGCCGGGCGGGCCGGGCGCTCCACTCGGCTCCTGTGCCGCCCGCTCTGCCTCCTGCATTTTCTCTACGTACTCGCCGAATATATCACGGAACCGTGACCAGGACTTCTCTGGAATGGTGATGGAATTTCTGAAGTTGGTTTTCACCTGAAACAGAGCATACGTTTGTTAGTCGATACATCTGTTTGAGACATGATGGACAAGCAGAGAGCAAACAGCATTGACGAATTACATCAAACTTAGTCACTGGGGGCGAGACATTCCCGTCAAAACACTAATCCGCGAGAGCACATCGGCACGGAAACACATATCCACCGCGTGAACTCACTGGAACAATGTCTCAGCACACCCCATGACCGAAAACGCATGTCCGATATCACACAAAGATGGGTGGTTCGTCAGAAGAACAAAGTCTCAATGCACGAAAGACACAGAGCATCGGGAAGCAGGACACCGAAGGATGAAGTGTTGGGGGGACCGAATATACACTAAACACGAGATGTCAGTCAGTCAAAAGTTATCTGAAAGTAAGCTTCATCAGCAAAGGAAAGCAGGTTCATTGAACGGAGGTGTGGTCAAATGCTTGGATGCTGGTAAGGGATGCATTATGTAGGACCGTATGGGAGATAATGCATTGCAGCGTCACATCGCTCACTTGTGTGAAAGGCAGATAAACAAAAACAGCGCGATCAAATAACACTAGCATGACCCGAACGCATAGCACGAGCAACCACGTCTCGACAACGTCCATTTTCAGACTTTCTACCAACCTCAGATATGCGCATGTAGATACCCCGATCATTCTGGCCGATATCAAAGTAGAAGTTTTTATTTTCAACACGCATGTGCTTTCCCTCTGGCAGCTCTCCCTTGAAGCCGCCGTCGTCCGTTCCGAACTCGTCGAGCAGATCGGTGAGCGCGTCCCGAAACTCGATCATGCCCTGGGCGGGGATGGCGATCTGCGAGCGCGGGCCGCCGCGCGGGATCGTCTGGGACACCTGTCGATAGAGGGGGGGGGGGGGGTTAGGTGGGTCTGGGGACGAACTTCAGGGGGGGGGGGGCTTCGGGTCGGGCTGGGGATGAGCGTGGATAGGGTGGGGTGGGTAGGAACTGAGGTGGTATCGCAGCGAGATGTGGTGAGACATTATTGTGCGAATATCCCACATGTCACATGGGCAAATTGGCTGACAAAAGGCTGCACCTAATGGAAATATATGATCGACAACAACCCGCACAGACGAATTTACCAGTGACAAAAGCTTAACAATGTCACAAATTAACTTGCACAAATATTCGCTTAGCATGAAGAGCGACATCGCTCCAGCAGCAGACCATACAAAGCAACGGAGTGTCATATGCAGCCAGCATACCACCAATAATGAACAACTACACGAGCTACGGCGCACCGCAATCCTCACCGGGCCATGAGAGACACGCGAGGCTCAAACCAGTCAACTGCACAATATGTTAAATTAGGATGGGTTAACGAACGGCATTGTACCTTGCAACGGTGGGCTACGTGAAAATGTATAACGAAGGCACTGAAAAGATCGTTAAGGTCCGTGACCAACAAAACAGGTTTCAGGTAAATAACTATACGAATTGAATGCATAGTTATTGCACCCATAAACAACTAGTCCGAGTTCGCGAATTACTCCCAGTTTTCTCTCACGGCATTCCTCCCCGTCACCACGCGCCCGACCGGCCGTGACACACGCGGGGCCGCGTCACCTCAGCCGGCGGCGCCGTCCGAGAACCCACGACCGGGGCATTCCTGTGGACCTCGCACCGCCGACCGCCGGCCGTGAAAGTCGGCCGGCCCGCCGGTCCGTTGGCTCGTTTGGCCCGAGGCCGACCGGCAGCCCGCGCCATGCACGCTGAGCGCCACCCGCCGTGGACTTTCCTGCGGCGGCCGTTGCCGGAAATTCCTCCAGCACGTGGGAGGACGCCGGTGGGCTGGCTGGTCGGCGCCAGGTGTGCTCCCGGGCAGCTGGGAGGGTAGCTCGGTGCGGTGGGAGGGGGAGGGGGCAGCCCCGCCGCCGGCGCCGGTCACACCAGTCCGCAGCTGGGGGCGGCTCGGTGGGGCAGGGAGGGGGCAGACACTCAAGCCCCGCCCCCTGACGCTACACGTGGACGGCCCGCCAGCCGGCCCAGAGCAAACACTAGCGCCGGATGCACGTATCACCGTATCGCAGACTCACTATCGAGCGGGACCACCGCGGGTGGTAGGTAGTAAACAACACACGAATGACCCCACGAAGCCACGGCCAAAGTCGAACTACCGGATAACCAATCAAACGTATCAGCTAACATCACTAGTCACCGAAGATGTGATAACTACGAAAAGCGGGGTGCAGCCGGCTCAACGAGAGCTTCGTGGAAGACGCTAGGGGCAGGGCAGAATGCAACATGGTGCACAGCGCTCGGAACTTTCCTCGCGAACCCCATCACCCGGTTAACCGCACGCCACGGAGGCGGCGCGTCTGGCATCCACGTGGCTGGCGGCGGACAGCCGGCGGGGCACGATTCAAACAGGGCCAGGCAGCGCCGCCGCGGGCAGCGGATCGCTGTACACAGGCGGCGCCACAGTCGCCGGCCTTTCCGCCGTCTGGCCGGCCGTCCGGCCGACCAGCCTGGCTGGCGGCAGCTGCGCCGAGCTGCAACACACGCCACCAGCGCCGGAAATGGCTCGCATGGGCCGGCCGCGCCCGACGGTTGGGCCAGACGACGCCGGCCGGCCGGCGGACCGGTGGAAGGGGCGGCAGCGAGAGGGCGGAGGAGGGAGGGAGGGAGGGAGAGCCGTGAGAAGGGCGCCGCCAACGGCCGGCCGCCGCCCGCGGCGCTACCTGTCCCGCTCCAGACGGGCCGCCGCGCCGGGGGCCGGCCGGCCGCTCGCCAGTCTGCAATGCCGTCGGACCGGTGTGGCGGCAGGAGCGGGCGGCCGGGCCAACGGTCCGCCGGCCGGCCAGACTGGGCGGGGCGGGCCGGGCCGGCCGACCCTGTGCCGGAGCCATGGGCCGCCGCAGACGCAGCCGTTTACGGCATTCCAGGGTACAGCATACAACCAACGAACAACGACCCTGCAAGTACACTGACAGCACTGCACAGGGCCTCGGCTAACATGTTAACTACTGGGGCAAATGCCCCAGTAGAGTCAAGGAATGCCCCAGTAGTGGTCAGGCTTTGCCCAACCTCCACAAAATGAGAATACATCAATATTAAGGTACATTCTTTCATTCGGGAGCGGTTGAAGACGTTTGTGGCAAGAAATCAGGGGCGGCGGAAGAGGGAGTTACGGTGTGCAGCTGCACCCTCAATTTCCATTAAAGAAAAATAGGCTGCATTGGCAAACATATCTTTTTGCACCCCATAATCCATCTTTGTTTGAAAGAGCGTCAAAAATAATGACGAGATTACTTCGGCCACTTCGGCAAATTACTTGGTCAGGTCAAAGGTCAGGTCATGGTGAAGACCAAATTTCGCCCATTTTCAGGTCGAATATCGACAGTTTACAAGATGCCGACGCATAACTCGGGACGGGAACCAATTAGAGCTACAGCACCGCGGAAAAGCGCATTTGATAGCCATATTAGCATGCTTTCTGCCTCTGGTTATTTCTCTTAGATTTGACCTAACGTCAACGGTTTTGCCTGCAAGGGGCAAAAACTACCAAAATAGACGATTTTTCGGGAACAATTTTTCTGCAATAACTTTTGACTCATGCCTTGCACAAGCTTTCTTTTACCGACATCGTGTTCCTCTCGTCAAGACATCAAATTAACTACAATTTGACCTTGAACGTCAACTTGAAAATTCGACCTCAGGTCAAGGTCATGATCTGACCGGAAATTGTCATGTTGCATATCAGTCGATCTGAATCGTCGAGCCAAACACAACTAAGGCATTTTCATCGCTCTAGCATGCCTCTTTCAAAGTTATTCGCGAAAAACTGTTAGATACCATTCGTGAACTGAGATGACCTCAGGGGCATAAACAAGGGTCACGGGTGCTATTTTCATGTTCAGTGTGTCGAAGTCACGTACAGTGTTTCATAGTGTTTAGAATAACTTTCCTCCAAAAGAGGTGGTTTTGAATTTTCTCCCATTGACTTATAATAGAGGTCGCAAAATTGAGCTGACCTTAGGTCACCGATGTGAAAATTCCGAGATATAAATTTTGTACATGCTGTTGCTCTTATCAACCGCTGAAAGTTTCAAAGCGATCGGTCACTTCGTCGGTGTAGCTACGGCATACCTACATTGAAACATTTTATGAGATGAGGTCACTTGAAGTGACCTGGTGACCTGATCTTGAATGATCTTGGTCTGAAATTTTTATAACACGTGTAGAATTGATGGATGAAGGAGCGCCGCCGTTTTTGAGATATCCGCGAAAAACCTCAGGAAAAACCGCAGGTGTTCAACCCCCCCCCCCCCCCCCCCAGCAGGGCGCCAACACACTTTGACGATTTGCCCCAGTAGTCAAAATTCCTTAGCCGAGGCCCTGGGCCACTGCACCAGGGTACCCCAGAGCACACAAAAGTAAGAAATCTGGCAATGATAACGCCACCTCTGATAGTTGCGGCGGCCATCAAGCTAATACTTTTCCTCGTAGGTCATAAGCGGAGCTCGTACTCGAGTAAAGGCCTGGCTACATTATGCGTTTTCTGCGTGCGTTTTTTTGCAGGTTTGCGTTTTTTGCGTAATATCGTTCTAGAAAAAAGTCATAAATGATATAACTTTTCCATTAGTTGGATACAAAACTTAATATAATTCTGATATTAACTAAAATTTCATATAAAAAACATCACAAAACCGTAATATCGTTATTTTTTCTAGAACGATATCACGCAAAACACGCAAACCCGCAAAAAACGCACGCAGAAAACGCATAGTGTAGCCAGGCCTTAAAGGATGCAGTCGTATCCACAAGTAAGTTTAGTCTGGAATCTGGACAGCGCAGAGCCAGGGGCTCTAACGTTCCAAGCCGGAAAACGTTGACCAAGGCAGTCCACGGGAGATTGTAAGCAAACGCTGAGGTAAGACCGGGCAGCGCTGCTGGCCACTGTTGTTTGGTCTTGGGCTAGGTCACGGTTCAGGTAGGGGTCGCCAGGTACCCTGGGCACAATGCCGAGGGGGGGGGGGGGGCGACGAAAATGTGCGCCGACCCTTGCAACTTGGCAATGAAAACGGAAGAAACGGCGCGACAGGGGTGTTCCTTTGCTGTCTTTGAAATACTTGGTGTCTGAATAGAGTTCGTCAAGGGGCTGGAGTGAGCATGTTTTGCGAGATATTCGAGCAACACGAGCTCATTTACCGCGAAGCACCGCCTTCTCGGAAGGTTACCGGGTTCAGCAGCTGGAGGGCATTCAAACCTCCCCCGGCAGCGACTGTATAACACAGGGCGACAAAGAGTCCCCTCCGGAGCATCTGGCGTCCGAGTGAGGCCGACAATCCCATCAATCCAGCAGCATTCCGGGCCATTTGAGTGTCTCCATGCACATAATCACACAGATGAACGAAATCCCAGCCGGCCGGCGTAGTCACGGCAGCACACCTAGCCCAGCCGGGCCTGGCAGAACCACACGCTGTTTTAGTACCACAGCGGCGGCGGCGGCGGCGGCGGCAGCCGGGGTCAGACGGTACGAACGAACACGGCAGAACCACGAACCGACCTCACCACACCGGCAGCTCGACCGCACCACACCGGCAGCTCGACCGCACCACCGCTGTTCATGGTGTGCCGGCCGCCGCCGCCACCGCCGCCCACAGTCTTCCGCCGCCAACTTTGTCATTGGACGCGCCGCCCGTGTTGTCTGGCGCTCCGATGAAACACATCGATCCGACTTGCCAGACGATACGAGCCGAATCTAAACAGGAGGCGCCTTGCTGCAAACAACATAACAAAGATAACTGGCGGGACGTTCTCAGCACAGACAGTAGGAGATCTGGCGTGGAGTCTACTCGGGATCAGTAGCTGGCTCCCCGTGGGAACAGACAGCGGCCATCCGAATCACCGCCGGCCGGCCGGGGTGTCGCACGGGCCGCGGGGGCGGCGGTCGACCATGCAGCGCCCCAGACGCCACATCGCGCCACCGTTGCGCAATCTGTCTGGGAATTTCCCGACCACGGCCAGTCTCATAGCGGCCGAGCAACAAACGTACGACAGCCATGAATGGAGCGAGCGTCAGTTGGTAGCAGTCAGCTCATTCAGCGGTGCCCAACAAAACATCTCAGCGGGGCCTGACGGATGCGGGGAATAGCCACCGGCCAACTTTGCGGTCTTTTGAGAGACAAATGCAGATGAATTTTGTTCCTGAATGAAATTTCCCAGCTAAGATTAGAACTGCATTTACCAACGCCCACATGAGATAAAGATAGCAGTTCCGTTGAGTTTCTAAGGGAACACTGAATCCACGTTAGCAACCGCCGTCGCCAACGCTACAGCACGCTATAATTCTAATTGCAATCGCGTCAGAAAACATTTACTGGCACATCCAGTGCCTCAAAAACCAAACGAATATATCCAAACTCCAAACCAATCATCACAAACTTACGAAACAGTGTGATGCGCAGTTTTGCATGCCCCATGTTTGCGGAAGAGGATCAGATTCAGACTATGCTCATCATGTCCAGAGCGAGACAATGTCGAAGCATATGGCATGATACAAAATTTATGGCGAAGCCTTCGCTCACTTCCTAGAAGATAACCAGCATGGTTGTGAGAACATGAAAAATCATTTTTGAACTTCACTGAATGAAAGCCGTTGCAGATTTTGCACCGAAATGGAGAAATGGTCAACGCTAATCGGTAAGGGCGAATCTCAATATCGTTTCTTTATAATCAGCAACCATGCAACGAGCATCCTAGCATTGCAGCCACGAGAGATGCCATTTCCCATGTGAAGGAATGTCGCCTCCAACGGCCTTACGATCTGACATCCACCCGGAAATTCCACAATGGACTGCTCTCTCTCTAGCGTCTACCCCCTCCCCCACCTACAGACTCTGCAAAACGTGTTGCCATTCCTTATCATGAGACCGCCCAAGCAAAGCACTAATATGACGCAAACGTAGCGGACAAGCAGTGAGCGTTGACAGCTAACGTCAAATGTGTACCGGGACCCTCACTGCATCCTTGCATCTGATCAGGGTAGCCTACGTAGCATCTGACCGCGGACGGGGAAATCCAGCCGACAGCACAGACTCCAGCTCCGCTTTCATGCGACAGCTCACAGGAGGGGATTCACCGTATCTAGACCCCGAGTACCTCTACACTTCCGTCACAATCCAACGAGAGACTAGCAGGCAGAAACAACGTCCCGTCTGGCAACGTGGCGTGGCCAGACTACCATATCCACTCAGTGCAGAACAGGAATGCGACAGGAAACCGTGCATTTCAGGCTTCAGGAGCAGTGCAGAAAATGAATGAGCTGCGCTCAGCGAGCAGACTACCGCAGAAGGCGGCCACGAATTCTAGCTGGAACCGGCGCGGTCCCGATTGAAGAAACGCGGAAAGTCTGGGTACTTGCGTCACGGGTAGGATAGCAGCGATTCTTTTTAGCCGTCAAATCATCCAACAAGGGGAATGATACTCGAGCTGCCAATACAGTCATGGATGGGCTTCAATAAAAGCCAGCACACGGGGGAATGCTAAACAAAAGCCCTCTCATCTATGCCTTATCATCAGCCAGTGACCACGCCATCCTCAGTGCGTGATGATGATCTGTGATTTTAGGCAACCTGAAGACGGCTCCGCCCGCCCTGCCCCTGGGACGCGCTACGTACCCGCAGAAACCTGCCCCGCGAGTTTTCCTTGAGGTCCAGGTAGTAGCGCCGGTTGTCTTTGACCATCATCTCCGACTTGAGCTTGCCGTCCTCGGGGAAGTTGTCCGGGCTGGGCGGTCCCAGACTCGAGTAGTACTCGCTGAATGACGTCAGGTGGTCTCGGAACTCTGCCGCTGTCGACAGCGCCAGGAACACCTGACTCCGCCGGCCGTCCGCCGCGATCTGACCACGGGAGAGAAACAGGTCGTCAGACGATTAACGATTTAAAAAGGTCGTCAGAGCATTGAAACACGGGTCACAGCATTCGGAGCACTTGGTACACGGGTCACGGCACGGGTCAGAGCACTCGGCGCATCGGTCAAAGCACTTTAAACACCGTAAGAGCAGGGGTCAGAATACCGGTAAGATACTAGAGATAGATCAGAGCTGCACATAATAAAAGCAAAGCAAACAGCTGGTCAACAGCTGGTGGCACCGGTGGCGCTGGTCAAAACACATATAAGAATACATATATCGAAGAGCGGCGGGTCAGCACACAGTTATGAGTAAGGGAAGGTCAGGGCATGGACCTCTAACCGCACAGAACATCAACGAGCATCGGCATATCATCGTAACAACGGAGCGCAGACGGTAACCCGTAAAACCAGCTTATCCAGCGCCCCTACTCGTATAAGGACCCCTGGGCCTAGTGAGTATGTCCGGAGAATCGGCGGCCCTAGCTACAGTCGGCTGACATGAAGCGGCTCGGTGCTCCGCCTACGGCGCGCCATCATGTGAAGCAGACACCTCAAGGACCCATAATACAGAACATTTACGCGTTTAGCCAAACCAGCATTCCACGGTATCACACTCGGGTTCCCAAAGAGTCGGAGAGCGAAGCCGCACCAACACGGATTCTTCCCACAGCAGCTTATATTAGCAGCTAACATGAAGGCGTTCGCGTAATTATTTCATAACAATGGTTTATTCAAACATGTCTAGTGATGGTCAAAAGACATGCAGTACAGCTATGGTGCGGTGTATCTGAAGGCAATCAGCCGGGTCCAAAGCTGCAGGGGGCAATTTCAGCCCATGAGAGGACGTGCAGTGTCTCCAGGTCAGAGCGGCATGGGGTGGTCGTTCAGCGCCAGCCAACCCGGCTGTGTTGGCAGTCTGCCAGCTAACGTCACATGCCGCCAGACCGACAGTCGACCAGCAGGAGCTGAGTGCCGGGGGCCCGGGCAGGCCGCCGCCAGTGGCCGCCTGACACCCGTCTGCGCGGCTACAGGCTAGCGCGGGTCACAGCCAGGCTAAAGCTCAAGCTGAATCATTGGAAGCCAGAGCATGAGCATATGTTCACCTAGCAATACATCGGACCGGTGCGGTGGTAAGGGTGCGGCTTTAGGCCTACATAACTCTTCCGCTGAAGACCACCCGATTCTTTCTGGTGCTGTGCCTGAGCGCAGACGCCTATGCCCTACAGCATTTTCGGAGAACGGGAAGAAAATTCATGAGACACCAGGAGAACAGCAACATCCACTAAAAGACATTAGTGTTCCAAGAAGGCGCCACGTCGGTAGTGGACTCCTGACTGCTGGACGGACTCCACACGTCACTCAAACGAAGACCCCCCCCTGACCCCCCCCCCACCACACACACTGGTCACGGCCCTCCCAGTATCGCGACCTTACGAGTTAAATAAACGACTCCAGATCCACCGCACCCGAGCCACTCCTAGTTCTATGGACGAGGTCAGCGTTTAACTGTCAATCTGGGATGTTACGCTCCACGTGGGTACGTACTGGCACGTACCCAGTTGGGGGCTGTGAGGGCAGCACGTGACACGACTAACGTCATCAGCGAGTGCTGTGATACGTAGCTACTTGCATGGAAATCTGCTGCACAGTACTGGTTACACCACGAAACAGACCACATTTTGCTGACTCTTTCCACTCCATTTCGCCGACTGCGTGGCCCGTAGGCGGCGGTATGCCTCGCGTACCAGACAACATTCCTCACATACCACCCCACTGTCTCACCACAAAGCAATAATGACCGAAATGAACTATGCATGTCCCTCCTGTCATGTCGATCCACTGGCGCATCCTATCAATAACGCACCTCAATTAGCCCCTTTCCCCTCAGACGGGTGAATGACATCAGTCTGCGCCGGTTATGAATATACACACAGTCTGCAGCTGGGGTCAGCAGGTACACCAGCCCCGTGACCCCCTGTCCCCTCCCCTCCGGCCAGGACAGGGAACGGGGCACGTAGCCAGCTGATGGGGACATGGACGGACACGACAGGTGATAGGACCGACGGACAATCGACAGAGAGCAGCAGACGACACGGAGACGACAGAATGATAGGGACAGAAGGACAGATAGCCGACAGTCAGCAGCAGGCAGGGAGCAGGGACGGAGGACAGGCAGACGGCAGCACCCAGGGACCGAAATAGGCGACAGGCGACAGGGAAAGGCAGCGGACGACAGGGCTCAGAGGCGGATAACAGGGCTCGGGGACAGGGAAAGACAGACTACATGGCTCAGGGACAGTGATAGACAGACTACAGGGCTCAGGGACAGTGATAGACAGACGACAGGGCTCAGGGACATGAAGACAACAGAGCTCAGGTACAGGGAAAGGCAAACGACAGGGCTTTGGGAAAGAGACAGTCAGACGACAGGACTCAGGGATAGGGATAGACAGACGGCACGGCTCAGGGAAGGGGACAGACACTCAGAGACAGGGATAGACAGACGACAGGGCTCAGGGAAAGGGATAGACAGACGACAGGGCCCGGGGACAGGGATAGACAGACGACAGGGCTCAGGGACAGGGGAAAGACAAAGGGCATGGCTGGGGACAAGGATAGGCAAACAAAAGGGCTCAGGGAAAGGGATAGACAGACGACGGGGCTCAGGGAAAAGGATAGGCAAACGACGGGGCTCAGGGAAAGGAACAGACGGACGACAGGGCTCAGGGACAGGGAAAGGCAAACAAAAGGGC